TTGATTTTTATTAATTTTGTTAATTTTTATTCATTTTTATTCATTTTATTGATTTTATTGATTTTTAATAATTTTATTAACTTTTATTAATTTTTAATGATTATTTTTTTAAATTTTAGTTTATTTTTATGATACTACCATACAAAAATCTAAATACCACAGAGCACGTCATTATTTATCTATGCTACAATTATAATTTTCAACGTTTAAAAAATTTATACTTCTATACAAATTTTCACCCCCGTTTTCCCCCCTTAAAATGAGAAAATCCAAAAACCATAAAACACATCGTTTCTTATTTTTAATCAGTAGCTGTAATTCAAATTTTTATGTTTCAAACTTTAAATACCAAAAAATTATATACATAATATAATACAAATTTTCACCCCCCATTTCCCCCCTTAAAATGTTTAAATGCAAAAACCCTGAAATTCTTCATTATTTATTTATGATGAGAACTTACAATTCCAATTTTCAAGTTCCTACTTTAAAAAAATCGATATTTCCAAATAAAATGTCACCCCCCGTTTCCCACCATTAAAATGTGAAAATCCAAAAACCCTAAAACACGTCATTATTAATTTGTACGCATTAGCTGCAATTCCAATTTTTCTGTTTCTAACTTCAAAGAGAACTAAAAAATCGATACTCCGATACAAACTTTCACCCCCGTTTGCTCCCTTTAAAATGTAAAAATCCAAAAACCCTAAAACACGTCATTATTTATTTATGCTCAGTAGCTTTAATTCCAATGTTCATGTTTCTAACTTCAAAGAGAACAAAAAAAGCGATACACTCATATAAACTTTCACCCCCAGTTTGCCCCCCTTAAAATGTGAAAATTCAAAAACTTTGAAATACGTCATTATTTATTTATGCTAAGTAGCTGTAATTCCAATGTTCATGTTTCTAACTTCAAAGAGAACAAAAAATCGATACTCTCATATAAACTTTCACCTCCCGTTTGCCCCCCTTAAAATGTGAAAATTCAAAAACTCTAAAACACGTCATTATTTATTTATGCTCAGTAGCTGTAATTCAAATTTTCTTGTTTCTAATTTCAAAGAACAAAGAGTTTCATAAAAAGTTCTCTCCCCCCACTTCCTCCCATTTACCCCCTTAAGTTGAAATTTTCAAAAATCCTTTCTTAGCGAATGCTTATAAAATAAACCTACATATGTTTCAAATTTCAGCTTTCTAGACTCAGTAGTTTTGGCTGTAGATTGATAGGTCAGTCAGTCAGTCAGTCAGTCAGTTAGTCAGAACAAACAATTTTATATATGTCGTACATTTGGAAGAATAGGGTTACATCTTAAAAAACTTCAATTTTGAGATTTCAACGAGAATCTATTTAAAAGTATCTCATGTTTTATAGGAAAAATGGGAACAAGTTAGCTTAACAGCACCAGAGAGCAGATGTAACTTTCTAGTTTTTAGGCTTACCAATTTATTTAAACTTGTTCTTTTGAAAAATTATTGTTTATTCTTCCAAATGAACGATATATAAGATTTCCTGAAATAGTTTTTGTAGCGATTTATGATGACTTTTTAACATGTACATTTTCACAATTTCGTTCTTTTTTCCATTTTCTCAATTTTTCAATATATTCAGGAAATAGTTTAATATCATTAGAATATTATAAAAGCAAATTCGCATAGTTTTATTGCCTATTAAGCCCATCTGGCATGTAGAATTCTCCTATGCTAATACATTTGCTAACGCCGCCTTAATGGATTAGGTATTCATTTCTATAAATCATTAAAAATATTTTTAATAAAAATTGAGATACGAGGCTTTCACTCTATGCAATCGATATAGCAACCCTAGTCGCATCCCTTGTAATTATTGTATTGATAGACATTCACCTCGCTTCACTTCATAGATACGTTTCAGTTACTTTCCCCAGTCACAATTCGTTTAATCGCACCCACCTTTTTTTAGGAACTGTTTGCTGGAAAGCCAGTTTTATCGATCGGTGTTTGGACTGTTTGGAGGTCGCTTAAAACATTTGTTAGTTTTCTGATACTCCTTGCCGCAGTCAACAGCAACGGCGCTCGCAAGTAGAATGGATAATTTTATTTCGAGGTCGAATGTTCCTGATTGAAAGATGTTTGTACGAATAACATGTTGATTTTGGAATTCCAACTGTAATTCAAAATTGTAGAAAAATGTCTAGGCACGGATCATCATCTTTCGCTTTTTATTTTTCGGTGATAGTGTTTATTGGTGTTTTAATATTTTTAGTTATTAGGTGGTGGTGGAAAAGGAAGAAACGAAACAACAGTGAGTTTTTGTTTGTGTGCTAGACATGATGGTATTAATTAACAAATACAGTTTTATAAGGAAATGGGCTTCCCTGTATATATAAAAATCGTATGTGTAGACCAAAAGTTAAAACGACTGATTTGGGGGGCCCGGTGAAGGATCCTGATGTGCGAAATTCACTAAAAAAAATTTAAACACTCAAAAGTTTCTATAGTAAATTTTCGAAAAATAATCTATGGATTAAGCAGTATTTTTCGAAAAAAATTGAATTAAAAATTCCAATTTTACAGGTTATAATCACAAAACAATTACTCTAAATGACAGTTTCTGTCTTAAAAATAACAAACGTTGCCAAGTTGTTAATAAAATTATAAGTTTAAGAATTATTTAAAATTTATAAATTGAAATTATAAAAAAGAAGTAATCAAAAATCATACATTTTTGGTTTGCTTCAAAAAGATAAGAGTACGGTAATAATCGTATATAAAATGAAAAAATTAATATATCAACCAAATTAATTTTAAAAGTGCAGCTCAAAAAAACTACATACAAAATTAAAAAGTGAAATTAATTAAACACTTAACATGTAATACCTAGACAATTTTTTTTCATTTTTTTTTTCACTCAAAACGAAACAACCTCGGAAACAACGACTTCCTGTAGGGTGGCGGCTTCAAATTGAAATGAAAAGTCTCACATAACACATTATATTTTCACCTATAACCAATAATTATATTTACTTTGTAATTTCACCTGTAACCAATAATTATATTTTCTTCTTTTCTTCTCATTTAAACTTGGAAATTATCAGACAGTGATAAAAATTAACAATATAGTATGGCAACTTTGCAAACTAGAGAACCGTATGTGTCAAGAACTGACAATTTCATGAATCACTTTATTTTAGGTTTAATGGAGGGAAATGATGAAAAGTTAGTTTAAAGCAGTCAAAATATTGCGTTTTATTATAATATAAATGAAAATAGCAAATGAAACGTATTCTTCCATATTTAATATCAATTAAAATATTATAAAAAGTAAGTTACTTCATTATATTAATGCTAAAATTATGAAATTCGCACCTCAGGATCCTTCACCAGAACTCTGTAATTTACTCTTATTCCAAGAAGGTATTTTCATGAGTTCTGCAAAAATTGACAAATTTATTCAGACCTAGGATTTCTTTTAGACAAAAAGTAGCAAATTCTGCTGTATTTAGTGTAGATTTTGGCATATTTTCATTTCGTGAACATTTTTATTTATAGTGGTATTGCGATTAGCTGCTTCTTTTTGCTTATAATGCCGTAATTTAGACAGGCGCAAGAGAGTGATATTTTTGTAACCCTATCACTAGAACAGTCGGGCAATTTTTTTTATAATTTTTTTAATTAATGTTTTTTTACCTCATGCGTGATCTTACGAAAAACCCTAATTAAATTGGAATTTTTAGATTATTTGAACTTAGAAATTAATCGAAGAGGTATGTGGGAAAAGATTGAAGAATGTCCTTCAAAAAAACAAAACCGACAATGTACATATCTTCAAGAATACATGACAAATTTAACAAATTGCCCAAGTTTCAAATTATTTCAAACCAAATTTTAAAATTTATTTTTGATTTTAAAACAAAATGGCAATAAGCTTAAAATTCAAAAATCCTTAAAAGCATTATTTATTTATGCCCGGTAGCTGTAATTAATATTTTCATGTTTCTAACTTCAAAGAACAAAAAAACAAAGGTACCCCTCATCCCCTCCCCCCTGATTTCCCCACCTCATTTCTCCACCTCATTTCCCCACTTCATTTCCCCACTTAATTTCCTCACTTAAAGGATACTTAGGTTATGAAATAAACCTGTTTTAAAGTTCAGCTTTCTATACTGAGTAGTTTTGACTGTGCGTTGATAGATCAGTCAGTCTGGACAAACGATTGCATATTATTATAAGGATTTAAGAACTTTGTTTCGCTATCCCCAAAATAGACAAAATATTATAAAATAACCTTTGAAATTACTGTCGCGTAAAAGCCAACCCTTTGCTTTGTTTGTTCCTTGCCTGCGGTATGAAGTCTAGCGGCGCTGGCAATATATAGAGACAAACGTATTGTTTCGAGAAACTACCGGATTAACCCCTTTGCGGCGTATGAGTCAGAAAGGCAGTTTTCGATCGTTCTGGAAAGCCTAGTACAGAGTTGGCTTTATATAAATAGCACGAGTTGTCGACGGACGGCAGATTAAATTTAAGTGTTGGACAGAAAAGATAAATGGTAATAAATAAATTAGAATTGTGAGTTATAATAGTGCCTAAGTATTATATAAATTAATTAGTACGTCATAAACAAATTGTAAATAGTGTGTTTTAAATAAACAGTAAATAAATTAAACAAACGTTACATTACGTATTTTTCTACTACTGTCCGGATGGAAACATACCGCTAAATGTTATTGATTAAATCATTAGATTACAGCTTCAACCTTAAAAGTGCATCGAAATTACCACCCTTACTGCGACCCATAGAAATACATATTTTCCTATTACTTTTGAAAAGAAGAAACCCCGCTAGAACTTCTTAATTAAATCATACACCTTAATAATTAATTTTTATAATGGTACAGCCTTACAAATGCACCGGAAGCCACCCCTACTGCGACCCTTAGAATTATATATTTTCCTGTTACTTATAGATTTCCTTCAACTTTATAATTATATTTACCTATTTGTATTTTCTTTTTCAGATGGCCCCACGGTGACAGTGACGACAACGACGCAACAATCGCATCTAGCGGCATCGCCGCAAGTCATCCCTCCCTATCCCATAAACGCACGTCATCCCACCCCAGCTAATGCGCCAGGGTTCACGCCGCATCATCCGCCTTATCCGACACATGCCCCTAGTATGCCTTTCCCGCAAGGTAAGAATACAATAATTTTTTTAAATTACAATAAAACTAAACATTTGCACCGACAGTACGATAGAAATATCTAAAAAACTGTTTACACGACAAAAGAAGGAATTTCATAGTTACATTGCTGAGTAAATGATTGAAAATATTTTTAAAGTGAAATGGATACGCAGGGTAAATGTTTTGCTCGACAAAAAATGTCAATACACGACAAACGCTATCTTCACTGTAAGAATGGGGACTAAATGACGAAACATAATTTTTAAATTTAAATCAACAGCGCAGTGTTAAATATTATTAAACATATTTTGCACGAAAAAAATTACAATACCCGACAAGAGAAAATGTCACTATAAGAATGTAAATTAAACGACAGAAAAATTTAAATTTAACTCAACAACGTATTATTAAATATTAGCACGACAAAAAGTGATTAAACAAAAAAAGGGTAAATGTCATTGTAAGAATGTGGACAGAAAAATATTTTAAATTTAAATCGACAACGCAGTGTTAAATATTACTAAACATATTATGCACGATAACAAAATATTAGTACGCGACAAACGATAATTTAACTGTAAGAATGTAGGACTAAGCGACAAAACATAATTTTTAAATTTAAATCAACAGCGTAGTGTCAAATATTACTAAACATGTTTTGCACGACATAAATGACATTACACGACAAAAGTACGTCATTGTAAGAATGTGGATTAAACGACACAAGTTTTTTTTCTATTTAAGTCAAAAGCGCAGGGTCAAATATTGTTTAACATGTTTTGCACGACAAATAGATAAATACACTACCAAACACGAAAGAATAAAATAAAAAATAAAAATCTTTTATACGACTAATTTTAATCCATAAATGAAGAGGATGTTTAAGGAGCATTGTTCTGATTGGCTCTGTGTTAAATAAACATTACCAGATAAAAATTAATCTAAGTATTATGCTTTACACGACAAAAAAATCAAACCATGTTTGATTATCATTTAAATAAATACAGACAAAATTGTGTTGAACTACAGGAAAAGTTGTTGTTTAAAAAGTTTATTAAATTTAATTATACAGACAAAATATGTATTAAATAATACGGAATTTTTTGTTTAAAAACATAATTTATATACCACCATCAGAAAATGTAAAAGTGAATACATTTTGCATTTTTAAATAATATGGGTTTTTTACAATATCATTTGGAATTATTTTACAAACTACACGAAAATCATGCGGTATTACAAAAATGACGTTTTTATTTACATTTGGAAAAATTTAAGCATTCTAAATTCTGAAATAAAATTGTATAAACAAATTTCCATTTTTTATTTTCTAAACTTTTTTTTGTAGTGCGACTTACTTACATACCATTTATGGATATTGGATGTATCAAGTTATTTGTCGTTGACTTATCATTGTCGTGTAAAAATGAAATACAAAAAGACATAAATTCCTTGAAAAATTTGCTTATATTTTTGGGTAGAAAGTTTTAATAAATTCACAGTACTTCATGGGAAAGAACCATTTTTTTGGACTGTTTAATCAATATACAAAAATAGTTTTGTTGTACCGCAAGGTACAATCCAATGGCCATCTGTTTATTTACTTATTAATTTCAAAATAAACAGTTTTAAAGCGACAAAACTTAATAAAACCTTAATCTCTTTTAGAATGGTTCCTTTGCCAATTTAATTGTGTGCTCTTTTGTTTCAAATACGAATAATTATAAAAAAAAATGTATCTCATATTTATCTGTTCTAACAGAAATACATTTTTAATAGTTAATGACAAATTTTACAAAGTCCACAAAATTAAGTTTCTTTTTCGGTGATCTACTCAGTTTAACGATTATGTGAAATGATGTCTTGATTAACCCTTTATAAATTTCTAACTAACATTTTTCAAATTTTGCTTAGCTCCAAGTTATGGTATTGCACCACCAGCAATAGGTATACGTGGAGGTCTGTCATTCATTGATGGTTAGTCTATAAATTATTAATGATAATTATAAAAAAATCCTTTTTAGTTTTGCACGTGAATACACTAACATACACTTCAATACACACTCTTTCGAAAGTTTCCCAACACGCAATTTAAATATTTGAGTATCCCACTTCTGAAAGCACGTTCACTTTGCACAAACATCTGTTAACTCTAACTTTAACTTCAACACTGCAATAATGATGATACTGACATTGAACACACAGCTAACTTCAAAGCTTGTAGCATGTTTAATTATAAATTAGTTGAGTTGTGAAATATAATTCTTTTAGATGACGTTAAAATTAATAGCTAGGATTTACTGGAGTGTTATATTTTCATAATGGCAAGGGAGCCAGTGACACTTTTAGATGTGCAAGGCAAAATAACAATTATTCTTACCTTGTAGAACAGACCCTGCAGTAGTGGAGACGTAGACCTCTTTAAAAAATCGTTGTAGAAAATGCTACTGGTCATTTCCTATCAAATCAACCAAAATAAAAAGAGGTATTTCTGACCATCTCACCGATTTTGATAAAATTTGGTGCACTGATTCATTATATGGGTGGAATGAAAAATCCAAAATATCTTTTTTCTGATCAGTAGTTTTTTTTAATTTCCAAAAATCAAAAATTGACTAATTTTGATCCAACGCAACTTCACAAAAATTAAAATATCTTAAGAACTACTTATCGTAGATCAATAAGATATAGCTCGTTGTAAAGGTAATTCAAACACCTTTCCAACGATGTGTCACATGACCTATATTATTTTCATCTGTTTCTTTTTTGAAATTTTGAAAAAACATTTATGAATTTTTTCAAAAAAGTAACTTTTGATTTTTTAAAAAAAAATTTTTTATCAGTGCTTTGACAAAATATGTGCCAAATTTCAAAATGGAGAACTCATGGGTTCAGGATGAAAAAAAAAAAAATAAGCATTTATAAAAAATATTTTTTTCTCAAAAAATTCAAAAATGATTTTTATGAAAGAAAAAAAAAAGATGTAAATAAAATTGGTCATGTGACACATCGTTGGAAAGGTATTTGAAGTACCTTTACAACGAGGTATATCTCATCGATGTACGATAAGTGGTCCTCAAGATATTCTAATTTTTTGAAGCTGTGTTGGGCCAAAATTGGTAAAAAAGTGTCACTGGGTCTCCAGAATATTTATTTAACTTTGGATTAAAAATGATTTCGAGTCAAAGCCTGTCAAATCTGGCGAGTATTTACTAAATTTACAAATGGCTATCAATTTTAGCGTTACTTGTAATTTATTTTAAATGGAATGTAAATACTTATTTAACATTTTATGTTAAAAAGTGGGGTCTTTTTTACTTGTAACATTTTCAGTCATTCTACGAATGAAAAATTAATATTAAGTACTTTTTGTTAGGTCATTATCCCCGGCAAACTTACCATTATGGCAATAGTTATTTTCCTTATCACGTGACTATACCAAGTGCCTCAAATTCGACGTATCGACATAGCTATCACGGTTAGTTATTGTTTTTGTTTGCAGTGATTTTTATTTAGAAACAGTAATTTTTGCTATTTAAAATATTAGTCCCACCTCTACTTATGCACTGTAGTTGAAAATGTAGAAAACGATGTCAATTTTATGGTTTTCCCTCAGGTAAACAAATGAAATATAGTGTTACGTTTGTTTAATTTATTTATTTAAAACACTATTTACAAATTATTTATAACGCACTAATTAATTTATATAATACTAATAAAAATTAATAAAATTCATAAAAATTAATTAAAATAAATTAATAAAATTTAATAAATATTAATAAAAATTAATGAAGTTTAATAAAAATTAATGAAGATTAATAAAAATTAATAAACATTAATAAAAATTAATAAATATTAATAAATATTAATAAAAATTAATAAATATTAATAAATATTAATAAATATTAATAAATATTAATAAATATTAATAAATATTAATAAATATTAATAAATATTAATAAATATTAATAAATATTAATAAATATTAATAAATAATAATAAATATTAATAAATATTAATAAATATTAATAAATATTAATAAATATTAATAAATATTAATAAATATTAATAAATATTAATAAATATTAATAAATATTAATAAATATTAATAAATATTAATAAATATTAATAAATATTAATAAATATTAATAAATATTAATAAATATTAATAAATATTAATAAATATTAATAAATATTAATAAATATTAATAAATATTAATAAATATTAATAAATATTAATAAATATTAATAAATATTAATAAATATTAATAAATATTAATAAATATTAATAAATATTAATAAATATTAATAAATATTAATAAATATTAATAAATATTAATAAATATTAATAAATATTAATAAATATTAATAAATATTAATAAATATTAATAAATATTATTAAATATTATTAAATATTAATAAATATTAATAAATATTAATAAATATTAATAAATATTAATAAATATTAATAAATATTAATAAATATTAATAAATATTAATAAATATTAATAAATATTAATAAATATTAATAAATATTAATAAATATTAATAAATATTAATAAATATTAATAAATATTAATAAATATTAATAAATATTAATAAATATTAATAAATATTAATACATATTAATACATATTAATACATATTAATACATATTAATAAATATTAATAAAAATTAATAATAATTATTAAAAATTAATAAAAATGAATCAAAAATAATAAAGATAAATAAACATTAATAAATATTAATAAAAGGTAATAAAAATTATTAAAAATTAATAAAAATTAATAAAAATTAATAAAAATTAATAAAAATTAATAAAAATGATTAAAACGAATCAAAAATAATAAAGATAAATAAAAATTAATAAACATTAATAAATATAAATAAAAGGTAATAAAAATTATTAAAAATTAATAAATATTAATAAAAATTAATAAAAATTAATAAAAATTAATAAAAATTAATAAAAATTATTAAAAATTAAAAAAATTAATAAAAATTAATA